AAACAAACAATCGAAGCAATATAAAATATTTATCCGGATATTTACCATCTCTCCATTACCTTCCCAACCGACACCCAACTTGCTAATATATACAGGTACTCCATAAAACAGTGCAGGCGTTTTTCTGTCTGACAAGGTGTTTTCGACATTTTTTTTAAGAAGGTCGTTTTATCATTCCTACTCCTTCTTTTAGTTTCTCAAGTTAGCTTGGAAATTCTTAAAATGCAATTGTAGATTTTTCATGAAACTTAAATACGGTACCTTTCATATTAACATAGTGAGAGCTATATACTCTCTAAGCCTAATATATCACAGAACAAAATAATAAGTATCCTATAGAAATGAGTTTAAGTCTAAAAGTTGAACAAAGTGTTAATTTGTGTTTTTACAAATTCGATGATTTTTCCAGTTGGTGGTCTCAACACTCAACATCTTGGCACACAAGCGACAAAACCAGGTGGAGCCAGTAAATACGCCTTTGACAACCCATATTTTGGTCAAGACGATGTCGAAGGATCGACACGTGGGACTGTGCAAGGTAAAACAAAATTGTTCCTGAAAGTTTTCTGGCATACAGCCGAAATTTATACTTCTATGGCTTTCTTATTTTCATCCTTGAATTTTGTTCTTGACAAACATTCGAAAATCTTTCGTGAAAAGTATTGTTTGTTTGTTACGAATTTCGCGCAAAGCTACACGAGGGTTATCTGCGCTAGCCGTCCTTAATTTAGCAGTGTAGGACTAGAGGAAAGGCAGTTAGTCATCACCACCCACCGCCAACTCTTCGGTTACTCTTTCACCAACGAATAGTGGGATTGACTGTCACATTATGACGCCTCCACGGCTGGAAGGGCGAGCATGTTTGGTGGGACGGGGATTCGAACCCTCGACCCTCAGATTGCGAGTCAAACGCTCTAACAACTGATAAGTAGTTTCAATGACAAAATATACTCAAAGCAGAAAGTCATTTTTTTTTACACGAAATGTTCTGTCATATTCTATTCGTCTAAACCTATCCATCTGTTCAAGGTATACAGCAGTTTCACTTGCACATAAACAGGTTATATAAAATAAATACATTAGAACGTCTTTTATGAATTATTATACTAAGTAAATGAATATATTAAGATAGTAAATACTGCTTTCTTTGTGATAAAATAAAAAGTTACATTTTTTCCATGTCTCCTGGTGACATTTTAACAAGTCTTCAATTTAGAAGTGCATTCTAATTTTTCAGTCTAATATGGTTTACGTTTGATCCTGAATAACATTTTAACGGTCATTAAGATTAACAGGGCCTGGCAAGGCCTGGTGGTTAGGGCATTCGACTCCCAGTTTGAGAGTCGCGAGTTCGAATCCTCTCCATCGAGCAGCTGATTGGGCCAGACTTCTGAGTTTAAAAGTTATTGGCTTACAAAAATATCAGCCGATCCCAAACAATCTGGAATTAAAATAGAATGGGGGAGATTAATAAAGTCTGGGTTTCAATAAACATTTGTCTATCATATATACGTTAATCAATAAAAATATTAACCGTGGGAAAATTTGTTACTTTTCTTTGTACATTTTGTGGTAAAAACTATCACGCAATTAGAATGTTTTTGATAAACACGGAGTTATGACTATAAATGTTGGTTTTCGTATTCTAAATATAATATAACTTCGTACAAGTTTTGACGCTTAGGTTGGTACGCTGAGGTGCATCGAAAACGAAAATAAATAAAACTTGAGTCTCGTATTCAAATTCCAAGCTACACCAAAAAACCAAACTGTCCTCATGTGCAGATAAACGAAACTCGCGTGACGAGCACATACACACAAGTATAAAACAAAACAACGACTCTTTTATCTAAATCACCTTGAACTCGTGATTTTAAAGATGGAGAAACTTTAAATATACTATAATTACAGCTTGACCCACGCTATCTCCCTTAAGGTTCGTGGTTTTAAATTCAGGATATACAAGAAAGTCTCGATTTTCTCGCGTGACCAAATTACATCAGCGGTATTCTTATTTAATAAATGCACTTTACAAAAACAAAAAAAAACGTATGCATTCGTTACCTTAAATATTTATTAAAAGTAGAGTTCGGAGTTTTTCGTTATATTTCTTTTTTGTTTCGATATCGTTGACTTCTAGTGCAGCTTTGAAGTAAATAATTTTATCTAATTTATGTTTTACTGAAATGAATAGAATTCTTTTGTATACACACGTGCGTATTTCACAACTTACTGTTGTTGCTAATTAATAAAGTTTCGAGACTTTTATTTTTCTAAGATGTATCACTGTAACGCAAGGTTATATATTTAAATACTTACAGAACTTTAGCGCATTATTTTTAATAATCACCTATAACGTTATGAAACAATTGGTTTCCTAAGTACTTTAACCCGTCAAACAAAATGCTTTTGTTTCCTAAGTACTTTAACCCGTCAAACAAAATGCTTTTGTTTCCTAAGTACTTTAACCCGTCAAACAAAATGCTTTTGTTTCCTAAGTACTTTAACCCGTCAAACAAAATGCTTTTGTTTCCTAAGTACTTTAACCCGTCAAACAAAATGCTTTTGTTTCCTAAGTACTTTAACCCGTCAAACAAAATGCTTTTGTGTGGAATGAATTTCCTTGCATCAGAGTCAGTGTTTGAATGAAGAGATTTTTTTTTCTGTGTTTCAGCTATCAGAAACTCTGAATACTTGCAACCAGGCGTGGTTAGGGCGCTCGACTCTCAATCTGCGGGTCGCGGGTTCGAATCCCCGTCACACCAAACATGCTCCCCTTTCAGCCATTGGGGCATTATAGAGTGACGGTCAATCCCACTATT